AAAAAAAAAAAAGGAAGAATGCATCAACAGTTATTGAATACCTCTATCATGACTTTCACGTACGATTCCAGAATGATCAGAAGATTATTTTTAGACAAAAAGCAGTTAGATGCAATAAAATTTATACTAACAACAACTTTAATAAACGGTTTAGATAACGAAATTCAGAACAGTTATATACCGCTAAAAAGAACTTACAATTTACACAACACAAATCTTGAGACATTTAATGTAAGATTAAAGTAAATTTCACAGAAATAAATTCAAATTTTTATAAAATATAGTAGTAAACAGCTCAGCAACCTCAAGTGAACGCCTAAACATAACAGTTTCAAAAAATACTTTTTATGTTTTTTTCCTCTCTAATTTTTTGTTTTTTTTTTTCTAGCACTCAAAGGCTATTTTAATAAGAAAAATTAACAGCAACAATCACAGAACCAAATAGCCATTCACAACTATTGATTATTACAAATCAAAAAGGTTCAGACAATTTGTGTTTTAAAGCAAACGCATAGCTTTGTAATCTTTTTCTTTTTTTTGCCTCACTAATAGCACCCAGCAACAGCAATAACAACAGCTAACCGACAAAATTTGCTGCTTACGCCATCAACAGATCTGTGCCCTTCAATTAAAAACGGAACGTCGAAATGAAACCGAATGCCCTGTGATGATACGGATGAGGACGATGTTGGTTGTGAACAAAATGAACCGATGCATTTGAGAGTCACCGTAACAGAACACACGGCAAAACAACCGTTGAACGAATTGTTACAATTATCCAAGTTTGAACTTCCCGCATTTTGCTCCAGGCTGTCCGGAGAATTTTCGCCTTACGATACGACCGATTATCACAGTTGTAAGATTTTAATCCACTCCCTCAGGCAGTGCTCAGTCTTTTTCTGTGCTGTGTCCCGTCTTTTGGTATCGTTGGTCGTGTTTAGTATCTGTATCAGATATCTGATGGATTTATTCTGACTTTTGTTGTGCCAGAAACTGCAAACTATAGAGCCATTAGAGGACTGATTATGAGCTGAATTTATACCGTTTGTACCGTCTGATCAAGAATATTGCTTTAACACAGTGCCGCTGCTGTATTAGATCCGGGAGGAAATTTTTGTTCTTTAAAAACTTATCGTTTCCATCTTTTTCACTTCTTTTATTTACTTTTTTTTCATGTAAAGTTTTTTTTTTTTTGGAAACAATTGGCTTTTGTAGCCCGTGAAGGGGTTTTGTAACCTACGATAATCATTGCGGCGAAAAAGAAAAAAATGCAGTCTTTGAGAGATAAAATGCTGGTGTGATACCAACAGCAAATGGGGGTAAACTGTAGTGAAGAATGGCTCATTTTGTGTCGATAGATCCATATGGGACTTTCCCCGTAATGGCATTACTTGTTGGATTTATATTTATTAACACTCAATTCTACCTCTTTCGCAACTAAGGCTTTAACAATCTGCTGGTTTTGATTCGTCTTGTAAATTTTTTAAACAAAGAATCATATTTTACGATGAA